TGTAATTTTGAAGTCCATTTATGAAGTTTAAATATGAAGTATAATTACGAAATCTAATTGTGACATCTAACTGTGAAGTCTAATTATGTAATCTAACTTTGAAGTCTAACTATGAAATCTTATTATGAATTCAAAATAGGGAGTCTACTCTTACCAAAAGACTGCTTTTTATTAGTTTTCATAACAATATAAATTTTAATAATATTTTAATACATTAAGCCGTCGTTCGTTAACATATTTTCGGACTAATTGTAAGCAGAGTTATAGGAGACCATATCGTTGGAACAATTACCTCGTAAAACGCTTGGGAAGGATTTGTCGTTCGTATTCACGAATAGGTCCGTGATTCGCGATCGTTGTTGATTCAGTGCGCTGAACGTCGCACGTGCGCCGATGTAGACGTACGCAAAGCTCCCGCAACCCGAACTTCAGCACGCGCCACGATTATGCGATTACGCGATTACGCGTGTCGATGCCCGTGTATATCGCAACCAGGATACCGAAGAAGAGGTCCGCCGATGATACTGCGTGAGCAACGACACGAAACATTCTTTCGTTCACCCCTGTACATCATTCTCCCTCTCGAAAATAGGCTTATCCGGCACGAATTAATGGGTTTTAAAACGATTGAGAAAGTGGTGAAGAGATTAGAGCGTTTGGGGATTTGGAAAATTTGAAATTTTTTTAATATGGGTATTTTGGAACGGTAGAATTTGGAAATTTGGGAATCTGGGAATTTAGATGTAATGATTTGGGTATTTAGGAATTTTTTGGAGCTAAGAATTTGGGAATGTAGGAATTTAGGAATGTAAAAATATGAAAGTGCAAGGAGTTGGGAATATAAGAATTTAGGAGACTTGGAATTTGAGGAATTGGAGATTTAGGGAATTGGGGATTTGGGGAGCTGGGGATTTTGGGAACTGGGAATTTGGGAACTAGGGATTTAGGGAGCTGAGGATTTAGGAACCTGGGGATTTGGGGAGGTGGGGATTTTGGGAACTGAAGATTTGTGGAGGTGGGGTTTGCGGAGCTGAGGATTTGTAGTGCTGGAGATTTGGGGAGGTGGGGATTTTTTGGACTGGGGATTTGTAGTGCTGGAGATTTGGGGAGGTGGGGATTTGGGGAGCTGGAGATTTTGGGTACTGGGGATTTGTAGTGCTGGGGATTTGGAGAGCTAGGGATTTGTAGTGCTGGGGATTTGGGGAGCTGGGGATTTTGGGAACTGGAGATTTGGGGAGGTGGGGATTTTGGGAACTGGGGATTTGAGGAGGTGGGGATTTTGGGAGCTGGGAATTTTGGGAACTGGGGATTTGGAGAGCTGGGGATTTAGGAATTTGAGAATTTGGAGTTTTGGGAAATTGAGTATTTAAAAATTTGGAAAATGTAGATTTTATAAATTTAGCAATTTGGATATTTGGGAGTTTGGTTATTTTGGAATTTGACAATTTGACAATTTGACAATTTGACAATTTGACAATTTGACAATTTGACAATTTGGAAATTTGGAACTTTGTAGATTTGAGAATTTGAGAATTTGGGAATTTGGAAATTTGGAAATTTGATCAATTTGGAATTTGGGAATCTGAGAGTTTGGGACTTTGAGTCTACATTACTTTGAGAAGTGTGAAATTTGAATTCCTTAAAAAGTTTAAAATTCACAAATCTCCAAATTCAAAACTTTCAGCTTCAAAAATTTGTAAATAAGAACAGCAATAAACAAAGTAATAAAAAATTAATAAATAAAAATGCAGAAACACAATTACCTAGATTTCTTCGTTTCCCAAATTAAGAAAGCATCTGAAAGGGTTCTGAGACTTTGTAAAAATCAATACTAGTGCGAGTAGTTATAAATTGAACACCTGATTGACGATGAAGAATCGAAGGAAGAGTATTGTGACCAAATGTGCTCGATTCCCCGCATTTAGCATGTTTTGCTCAGGAGGTGGTCGGCCATGGCCAACGTCGACGTTCAATATTAAACCCACAGTAATTTATGTTAGCACGATCGTGCATAATGCTGTTTGTATAAAGCGGTACTGCCACGTGTCGGCTCGTGTCGCCACTACGTATCATTTCTACCTCCCTTAATTCTTGATGCTAGCTGGTTCACAGGCGACACGTAGGGTCATGTGTGGACGCTTTACTATGATTTTAAATGTTCCTCTACTATGAACGGAGATTGTGGTAGGCGCTCTAGAGTGCAGTGCATGCTTCCTTTACATACATTTATAAACTTAACAGTTTTTTGTTGTTTTGTTAGGAGACTGGAAAGAGGAATTGGAGATTTGGGGTGCTTGGGATTTTGGGAATTGGGAATTTGGGGAGCTAGGGATTTAGGGAGCTGGGGATTTTGAGAACTGGGGATTTGTAGAGTTGGGGATTTGTAGAACTGGGGATTTGGGGAACTGGGGATTTGGAGAGTTGAGGATTTGGGGAGGTGGGGATTTGAGGAGCTGCGGATTTTGGGAACTGGGGATTTGGGGAGCTGGGGACTTTGGGAACTGGGGACTTGGGGAGGTGGGAATTTGGGCAGCTGGGGATTTTGGTCAAATTTTTGTTTTCAAGATTGGCATTTTTAGATTTTCATGTTTTTGCGTTTACTATTTTTAGATTTTCTAGCTTTTGTATTTTCGATTTTTCGCATTTTTAAGTTTCTGCATCATCGAATGTGTGTTCAAGTTTCTTCCCTTTCGAATTTTCATATATTTAGGATTTTGTACTTTCACATTTCCATATCTTTAAGCTTTTATATTTTCTAATTTTCAATTTCTCAAATTTTCGGATTTTCAAGGTTTTATACTTTTAGATTTTTATCTTTCCTAGCTTTTGTTTTCTTCAATTATCATATTTTTTATGTTTCTGCACTTTCGAATTTTCATATTTACAAATTTGTGTATTTTGGAATTTTTATATTTTCAAGTTTTGTAAATTTTCATATTTTCAAGTTAGTACGTTTTTAAATTTTCATTTCTTCAAGTTTTTATATATTTAGATTTCCAAATCTTTAAATGCCCAAGTCTTTGCATTTCTACATTCTCAAATTTTCAAGTTCTCTAATTTTGTTCATATTTGTAACCGAACATGCCAAAAATGGTAAATCAAAAATGTCAATTTTTGTAAAAATTGGAAGTTGTTAATTTGTACAAAAAATGAAAATTTGTCAAATTTATTAAGAAATTTTTAAACTTAATAAGAAGTTTAATTTTGTAAAGTTTAATTTTGCAAAGTACGAGATTTAATGTTTTTTTAATTCCGAGGCCTGTAAACTTATAAATCTGATAATTAAGAAGTTTCAAGATTAAAAATTTATATATTAACTTTTAAATTTAAAAATTTTAGTGCTCCATGTACCATCACCTTGTATTTAAGGCAATACAACGAGATCCTAATATTAGGCTAATAGTTTCACTGTTATTATTACTTCTTTATAGTACAATTTCTAATAATTCTAAATTATAGTTAATTATAGTATAATTTATAGTCTAGTTTATTCCTCTACAATAACATATTTTTATAATACATTCCTTTTATTGTATATTATTTATTGTATAGTTCCAGTATAATTTTCTATAATTCTAAATTACAAAAATCATCTATATCATAGAAACAATTCTGAATTATAGGAATTATATTTTTTTCTCAGAAATATATATGAATATTTCTCATATAAAAAATATAACAATTGAAGCGATACAACTTGTCTCATAATTGCTTTTGGGTGATAATTCAGCGAAACATCGTGTATTTATAAGAAATGGAAGAATTTGAATGATCAGTGAATCGAGCTCGGTACAAACAGCTGACTACTTAAATGTAAATGAAGACAGAAAGACGGTCGTGTATGAATGGCGGCATTCGAGGAAAATCTTGGTTAAATTTCACAATAAGCTCTTTCACGGCTCTTAAACGTGAAAGCGCTTGTAAGCGACTTTGGGGAGCCTTACTAGACGCCCTTGGAAAGCAGCCTGAGCGTCTGTAAAGGCGAGAATGAACGAAAGGAGGGAATGGAATAGGCTCGATAAGTGGACACCCTGTGGAGAATGATGGGATGCAGACCGCTTGCATGAATTAAACACGTTCACGTTTATGAATGAATCCAGATCGAAATCGAAATTCCTCAAAGTAGATATTTCGAGGGTGGATCAACCAACCGATACCCGACGGGCCCTAATCTCCTGGAAAAGGGAATCCGTAACGGATGTTTATCCTTGAACGCTGCCATACTTTGGTTAGGGTTAGATTGTAAAGGGTTATGAGAAATGAGGTTAAACAAAACAGAATTAATAACAACTTTTATTGGTATCGTTAAACGCATGTTGTTCATGTAAATATTTTTATAGCTTTTGAGTGATGCACGAAATGTGGAGGTTATTATTTGTAATCTTTTATTGCGTTTTGATTTTGGAAAGGCAAGGCGTTTTTAAAATTTTACTAACAAGCAAATGATAAATATTATTTTTGTGGAAAATTAATATCTTTTTTTAGCGATATTTTATATCATTTATTTTTGGATTTTGAACATTTCTTTATTTATGCCTTTGAGAATATTAAGGATGTTATTTTCATAATTTTTAAGACGTTATTTTGAAAAATTCTATAGAGGCACAAAATTGTAGTAAAGTTGGATAAAAAATTGTTAAAAATTGTTCTCCTACAAAATAGAATTTTGTAATATATTACTTTATGTAGTATACATACAAGTTTGAGAATTTTTCATTATGAATTTTTCATATTCGGTTGCATCTTAATTTTTAGGTAATCAATAAAAGTGATCGAAATGGAGAAATTCATTTTAGTAAATTGAGATTATAAGATATATTTAAAAAAAGCATATTTTAAAATAATTATTGCTTACTTGAATTCATTACATCAAAATTTATTAACGAAGTTTACATTAATGTTTACGTATTTATTTGCTGAATTTTAAAATTGTTTCAATTTTTTAACATTGTTTGGACTTTAAACAGAAATTTGACGAAGCGTGGTGTTGATAATTGCAGGAGGTGATAAAATGGCGGAGGTAACTTACATTCGGAATCCTTATCCGTTGCCGGAAGTAACTCGTGAAGGAGTGTGGAAACGACGACCTGTACTAGGTAATAAAGTTTCACCGACGGATAAAGACTGGAGTACCAAGTTAAAACCCCATGAACGTCTCTTTGCACATCACACGCTAAATAGTATACGGAAAGATAATAGACTTATGAGATCACAGGTAACACGTCGTGAGTTAACCTTGATCTATTATCCTCTATAAAATTTTCTTCAATACTTTTATTATAAATTAACAATTTTCTTATACTTCTGTTATGAATTAAACATTTTTATTGCAACTCTTATTACAAATTAATAATTTTTTTTTGTATTAAGCGTAAGAAAAATAACAGAAAAGTAATATTTCTATTATGTTTAATTTTATTAAATATTTGTCTTAAGTATACAAATTTTCGATATACTTTAAGTATATAAACTTTCAGTAAACTTTTGTTTTTCAATCATTTGAATAATTTGATATCATAATACTAGATTAAAGTTAATTATTTTTAGATTTAAGTGAAAGAAGTACGTCTTCTATCGTTGCTATTTTAGATATCAAATATACCGATTTTGTAAATTTTTTGTAAGATGAACAATATAATAGAAAGAAGAAATATACATAGGATGTTCCACTTACGTTTTCTAATATAAAAAATTATTTCAAAATCACTCAGTGAATGCCATTATAATATCTTCATCATGAAATTATTTCATCATGATTACTTCATCACGAAAATGAAATATTTGACTTATTAATACTTTAAATATTAGGTAGGACACCCATGTATATTTTTTGTAAATAAATGTTACTTGTAAAATAATTCTGAATAAATTTTAATTTCGTTTTCATTCTAAAATAATTTCTTAATTTTTATTCTATGCATTTCCTTCAATTGCATATTATTTCTTACGGTGCAATTTGTACGCGAAAATAAATATTTCACTATAGTTAATTACGGTGGAATGAAATAGAATTTCTTCTAATACGACAAATTTTCAGGTACCGAATGATTCTCTCGATTTAGCACTTACAACCGTGTACATTCACAGCAAGGATACATTAGTACCTAAAGTGTACGTCACTATGCAACCTGAATCACTAGGAAAAAGGACATGGCGCGTTTTGAAAAATGAAATTGAGGTAAAACCTTAACAAATTGAACTATTAATTTATTTAGTTTGCAATTTATCAAAGAAATCAAATAATATGTTTTATTTTATTTTACTGTATTCATAAAATGAATTAGTTTTTGACTATCGAACGAATCAACATTATAGAAATTGTAAACATCATATATTACAAAAGTATTATTTACAACATTTTTTAAAGAATATTTTAAAGCAGGTATTTATCTGTTATTGTAAGAAATAATTTTAACAGTGCAAATGTTAGTATTTATTCGTAACACTATAAAAAATATTAGACTCCCAACCAAATTTATAAGTTTCACATATTTTTCTGTAGAATTCTTTTTTAAAATTTACTAAATAGTAAATTTATGTTAGTGTGAGAACAATTCAAATCAGTAATATTTTATTTTGTTCGTAGTTAGGGCAGATTAAATAAGGTTAGGTTAGTTTAAGGTAAATTAAATTAGCTTAGGCTGCATTAAGTTAAATTAAATGAGGTTAGGTTGTATGGATATATGAAATTAGGTTATATTTGAATAAGTTGCATTATATTACTCTAAATTCAAAGTAAATTCAAGTTAATTTAAATTAGGTTGTTCTAGATTATGGTGATCTAAATTACGTTAGGTTAGGTTTTCGACTTACATATAATAAAATTAGAACAATTATAAAACAAAATAAATAATAATAATAACTTGAAATCACATGTCACTCTACTATTATTTATCATTCACAACTAAATACAGCAACCGTAAAACAAAGTGTAATTAAATATTCTTTTCAACGTATTTAATTATTTTAGTGAACAGTTATAGGATTAAATTATGGTTTTAATGTCAGACAACGTTAACCCATAAACAATAAGTTGTCATCTTTAGTATTCTTTGACTCTCAATTTCCATAAAATCAAAACATTATTAAAAAAGTGTAAACTATTAATTTTCTCATAATAACATTGTAGTCAGAACGTACGATTGTTAATCATACATCTGTAAAAACAAATAGTGAATTTTTAGAGTCGACGTTTGACTCTAAACCCTCGAAATAGCAGAATATAAAACGATTACGTTTTTCTGTTTTCTCAATTAACGAAGGTTGACAAAGCCCCGATTTCGGAGGAAGAGGATCCGTTAGCGGCGTTCCTGGAGAGAGCAGAATGTTACCGTGGCCCGTTGCCAGAGAGAAGAGTTCACCCGAGCAGCGTGAAATTAAATATCACCGGTCCTCACGCAGTTGAATCTAATCCCGGATACAGTCGCAAAATTGACGGAACTTTTTACGGTATTTAAAGAGTATTTAAACACGGATTTGTACGATGTTTGAGATGGAAACCGGACGATCGAATCTGTGCTAACAATCGTATTTGAGGAAATTAAATCGACGATTTTATGATTATCATCGACATCGTCAATCGCTTTTGTATGTTTATGAATATGCTCTTCAATTTCGTATAATTTCGCCGATAAATCTATACGTTTAATAAATGTGGCGGTTTAGTTTACCCGAGCACATTCTGTATTCCTATTGAATTTTGTTAAACGATCAAGTTTAGGGAAATTAAATGTACGCGTGAAAGATAATGTATTATTGAAACTGTAATCGCGAATTTCCCTTTTGTATTTATGTTTTAATTGATTCGTACGTGTGTGTTATTAGGGAATAATGAAAATCGTCAAATATTGTGGAGAATAAATATTATGTATTATCCAGCTGTCGTATACATGTATGTTTTAATAATATTGGCATATTTAATAAATTAATTATACGGTGTAACATTTCCTTTTCAATCATCAATCAAAACTTTTCATTTAGAAATTTTGAGTTCCTAAAATTTTGGAATTTCGGAATTCAGAAATTTATGAAGATTTGGAAATGTGAAATATGAAATTTGAAATTTGCAAAAGTAAAAATTTAGTAATTTTGAAATTTAGTCTTTAGAGATTAGTACTTTAGGTACCTAGAAAACTAAAACTTTGATATTTGGTAAACCGGAAATTCAGAAATGTGATAAACTAGGAATTTAAGAGTGTTTGAGTTATAGGAATTTAGCAATTTAGCAATTTAGCAACTTAACAATTTAAGAATTTAGGAACCTAAAAACTTAAGAATGTAGAAATCTAGGAATCTAAGAATCTAGGGATCTAGGATGGGATTTTGGGATTTAGGGATCTAGGGATCTAGGGATCTAGGGATCTAGGGATCTAGGGATCTAGGGATCTAGGGATCTAGGGATCTAGGGATCTAGGGATCTAGGGATCTAGGGATCTAGGGATCTAGGGATCTAGGGATCTAGGGATCTAGGGATCTAGGGATCTAGGGATCTAGGGATCTAGGGATCTAGGGATCTAGGGATCTAGGGATCTAGGGATCTAGGGATCTAGGGATCTAGGGATCTAGGGATCTAGGGATCTAGGGATCTAGGGATCTAGGGATCTAGGGATCTAGGGATCTAGGGATCTAGGGATCTAGGGATCTAGGGATCTAGGGATCTAGGGATCTAGGGATCTAGGGATCTAGGGATCTAGGGATCTAGGGATCTAGGGATCTAGGGATCTAGGGATCTAGGGATCTAGGGATCTAGGGATCTAGGGATCTAGGGATCTAGGGATCTAGGGATCTAGGGATCTAGGGATCTAGGGATCTAGGGATCTAGGGATCTAGGGATCTAGGGATCTAGGGATCTAGGGATCTAGGGATCTAGGGATCTAGGGATCTAGGGATCTAGGGATCTAGGGATCTAGGGATCTAGGGATCTAGGGATCTAGGGATCTAGGGATCTAGGGATCTAGGGATCTAGGGATCTAGGGATCTAGGGATCTAGGGATCTAGGGATCTAGGGATCTAGGGATCTAGGGATCTAGGGATCTAGGGATCTAGGGATCTAGGGATCTAGGGATCTAGGGATCTAGGGATCTAGGGATCTAGGGATCTAGGGATCTAGGGATCTAGGGATCTAGGGATCTAGGGATCTAGGGATCTAGGGATCTAGGGATCTAGGGATCTAGGGATCTAGGGATCTAGGGATCTAGGGATCTAGGGATCTAGGGATCTAGGGATCTAGGGATCTAGGGATCTAGGGATCTAGGGATCTAGGGATCTAGGGATCTAAGGATCTACAGATCTAGGGATTTAGGGATTTAGGGATTTAGGGATTTAGGGATCTAGGTATATTGCAATCTAAAGATCTACAGATCTAGGAACCTAGGAATCTAGGAATCTAGGAATTTAGAAATCTAGGAATTTAGGAATCTAGAAACCTTGATGTTTAGGAATTTGGGAATTTCAGAATATCAATAGTATACTAGAAATTCGGGAATTAAGAAATGTTAAAATTGGAAAATTGAAAAAATGTAGAGATCTGGAAATCTAGGAATTTAGATATTTGAAAATCTAGAAATCCAAAAATTTTGTTAGTGTAGAAATCTTAAAACCTAGAAATCCAGAAAATCAGAAATACAGAGGCCTAGAAATCTATCAAACCAGAGAATCCCACGTTCCACCTATGTATACACATACATCTACATGCTTATACCATCGAAGGGGTGAAACCCCCCACTCTCTTCCTTACACCCAAAATTTTCCTCGATTTCATTAAGTTATTCCTTAACTCCGATCTAAGATTAAGAAATTACTAAAACCTTAAAACTATCCTTCCGTGACATCATATTCGTCTAATTCCAACGCGCAAAAAATGCCGAACAGTTCCTCGAATCGGCAACGAAACAATAATCTAACAGGCAGCTCCCCTTCGATCCACCTTCCAATGTCGTTAAAAAGATAAGGGGGGTTGCTGGCAGCGAAAAAGGGTGAGCGAGCACGAGCCGAGGAGGAGTTTTCGTGACGAGGCGGTCGCCGCGGCAATCATGGCCGGATTAGGCGTATGTATAAGGATCGAGCTGGAAGAGGGTGTCAGAGGGGTTGCTCAGCAGGTCAAACGGGGGCAAGATAGACGTCTGCACAGGGTGAAACATAAATGATATTCCATGAGGAGCATATGCGTACGGAGATGGCTCCACCTCCGCGACGTTATGCGGCGAGGGTGGCAGCCACCCCCTATGGCAGCAGGGTGCTGGTTTATTACAAACAAGGATTACCCGGGTAATGGGACATTCTGTCCCTTCGGCTGCTCAACAGTGAGAACGTCCTGTGCACTGACTCACGCGTTCGCTCGCATCCTCGTCGGCCACCCTGGACGAAGGGACGAAACCGAAACTGGGAGATCCTTGGTCAAGATTTCGAACACTGTATTATGCCGCCGAAGATATCTATCGAACAAATTTGTCGACACTCTTGTACCGATTATAATCGGTTTGAAGGATGCTGTGATGTTCGAAGGTTTATTGATCATTTTGGATTTTTAGTGTTGGCTATTGTTAGATGTATAGGTGTCGCAAAGATGCGATGCAAAGGTAAGATATACATTTGTGAGTACTGATAGCGAATTTTATAATGTATTCTACAGTTGTCTATTTTTGAATTAGTAAATATCTAAATACTTGAAAAAATTAAAAAAAGTTTTGTGAATTTTCAAATTACGACATACTTAAATTTTTTAATAGCAATTTATGATTCTTCAAATTACCAAATAACTAAAGTTAAAAATTATTAAGTTCCAGATTATGAAATTATGGAATTGTTAAATTATCAAATTATTAAACCGTCAAAGTTGAAATTAAAGTTGATAATTCCTGAGTTATTAAAATTGAAAAATTCGAATTTCCTAATTACCAAATGCCTAAACTTCTAAATTTGCAATCCCCTAATTATCAAATTACCAAATACTTAAATTTTATAATTTTTCATTTTTGAATTCCCAAATTACCAAATATCTATACTACACAATTAGAAATTCTTTAACTTACAAACTAAATATCTAAACGTCTAAATAAAAAATTTTTAAATTATCAAATTACTAAATTCCTACCCTTTTAAGTTTGAAATTTCTAAATTCCTAACTTGCCAAATATTCAAATTTCTAAGTTTCAAACCATGAACAAAGTACCTATATCTCCTTGAAACTACTCATTTACAAACAAATCCGCACACGCGTTACGTAAATATTATAATTTCCTTGTTAAATAAGCGGTACTTACGTCGTTAAGTAAACATCAGCGACCGAGAACGAATCAAATAATTCCCCCATGGATTACAACACGTCGAATGTCTATCGACGTGGGTCCTTTTTTCTCTTCAGTTGGGGTGTACGGAAAAGTGGCGGGAATAAGGGTAAAACGATTTCTGAGACCGTCGTGGGTAACGAGCGAGGTAACCAGCCAATTACTTGGCTGAACGATTTTATTTGTATTTAATTCTTATTTAATTTACTTTTTACGCTTGCCTTTGTTGGGTCTTCGATAACGGAATGGAAAATTTCTACGTCATTGCAAATTCACAGAATCGTAACGCGATGTGTCGTGTGGTAATTAATTTGAACGAAGTCTAAAAATTTAACAAACTCGGATTCACATTTGTACAGACCGGAGCAAAGCCGATTTTCTTAGAGAAAATATGGTAACTGGAAGAGAGAAAGGCTTATCAATCGATTTTTAGGGATTGGATAAGAATTTGAGAAGTTTAGTACTATGGGATTTTTTAATGTGAGAATATAGGGATTTAGAAGATGAGTAATTATGGATTTGGGAATGTAGAAATTTGGGGATTTAGGAATTCAGGAATTAAAGGATTCAAGGATTTACAAATGTAGAGATTTGGGGATTTGAGGATCTAAAGATATTGTAGATGTTTTAGAATTTGGGAGGGTGGGGGTTTAGGAGTCCAAGGTTTTAATAGGGTAGGGATTTAGGAATGTAGGGAGTTGGGAGTGTAGGGCTTTAGGAATGTAGAGATTTGGGAATATAGGATTTTAGAGATCTAGGGAATTACAAATTTCGAGATTTGGGAATCTAGGAAGATGACGATGTAGAAATTTGGGGAACTGGAAACTTTGGACACTGAGGGTATGGAGATTTGAAAATTTGGGAATGAAGAGATTTAGGAATATTGGGATTCAGCAATATAGGGATTTGGGAATATAGAAATTTGTAGATCTAGGGAATTGGAAATTCGAGATTTGGGAACCTAGGAAGCTGGCCATGTAGAAATTTGGGAATATAGGAACTTAGAAATCTGGGAATTGTAGAAATTCTGAAATTTGCAGTATCTACAAATTCGAGGATAAGCAATTTTGAGAACTTGGATGTTAAGTCATCTAGAAGCATAATTGAGGACTTCCAAAATTCCTCAAAATTCAAATTCAAATTTGAAAAAGAATTCATACAAAAAATCTTTA